TGCAGCACGTTAATATGCTGGTCAATTTTCGACTTCTGGGTTGAGCCCTCCTCGCTGACGGACCGTAGATCATGACTGTCCGCGGGTATCTCTTCGTGCTCTTTCGTTGGAGAGTCCCGATCATTGCGATTAGAGGCTGAAGCTGTCTTGGAGGGGCGGTGGAGTAAGGCGAAGCCACAAGCCAGGTTGAGGGGAGCCGCATCTCTCCTCCTGGGCGTGGTCCTTTTCCCTCCCGAAGACGACTGAAGTGGGGGTCCAAAATGGCCACCCCAAAGAGGAGGACTCAGCTGGACTAAGATTTGTGCAGGAGGGAAGAAAGAGGTGGATAACATCTGAACCGGGACAATTGCGCGAAACAACTAAACAAAAAGTACCCCGGGATTAAGGTAACATTGAACTTTTAAGAAAAGAAAAGTGAGTGGCGAAAATACAAAGGGATAGGGAAAAAATGAAGAAAATAATTTTGACAGCTAAGCGGGGCTTCGAACCGGGAAAGGAAGACGCCGGAACTAAAGATTTAATGAAATTGGACTAAAATATTTTGGCAATAAACAGGCATAAAATAAAACTGGACTTAAGACTGTCAAAAAATAATAATAATAAAATTTACAATTTGGAGACTGGATTGTGCTGGAATATTGAGGTTCGAAAAACCCTAAATAAAAAAAATAGGGGGAAAAGGTGAAGACTTTGTATAACAGAGAATGCTATCTTCTGACAAAAACTTGAACGCAAACAAAAGGGAAAGCATCCTGTTTCTGTATGAACTTGTGTTGATATAATGTTAAAGAAATATTGAAACAAAGAACCTTAGAAAGTAAAAGTTGAACCAGAATAAAGAAAGAAGCAAGGAAAGACTGATTGTGAGATTGATTGATGTTTTTGGTATAGACCCTGACCTGGAACAATTGAGAACTTTAGAAAACTGGAAGAAGAAAGAAGGAAAGTAAAAGTGTTTTTTGTGACTTCAATGATTATAAAATATAAGAGTGTGTAATGATGATATCTCTTTGGGAATTAAAAATGGAACTTAAAAATAGGAGAGAATTACTACAGGAAAGAGGCGAATCACTTTGCTCTGTTAGAAGAAATAGAAATGGCGATTGAAGAACAAGAAGAAAGAACTTCAGAGGAGGAGGAGTTGATTCAAGGAGAAGACATCTTAAATAGACAATTAACACAAAGAACACTACAAAGACGAGGGGAAAGAAGGAAGGCTAAAAGGTTGAGATTTAAGAAGGTAATCAAAAAGGGGAATACCTGTGAAATCAGGAGAGGTAGAAAGATCCAGCAGAAAAGGGGAAAGGAAGATATCAAGAAAGAGAGGGATATAAATCGGAATGAGATAGGATATGGGAAAAAGAGGGGGAGGAGAGGTAGTGAGAAACAGGTGCATGAAATAAAGAAACACGGAAATAGTAAAATGATGAAAAGAAATCATTTTATTAGAGATAATGGTTGATGCATTAAAAAGGGGATTCTGCAGGGTGACAAGGGGTAACAAGAATATATTTGCAATTAAAAAAAATACTTAGAAAATAGGGTAATATAGATTATTAAAGGAGGGATAGATACTGATAACTATTATTAGATGAATATATATATTTATTTTTATTCTTAAAAGAAAAGTTAAAGTTTATTGAAGAAATTGTAATAATTGAAATGAACGTGAAGATGTTTAAAAATGAGGTCAATATCAGTGATTAGAAATTGAATAGTCAATTTTTTCCCTTTTACTTTTTTGAAATTAGAAATAAAATTAAGGGGGAAAATATGTTGCAGAATCCAAATGAAAAGATGTAATGATTATTATTGTAACTACTTAAAAATAATGGCTTATTGGGAATTAGGATGAGGGAATAAAGGTATATTTTAACCACTTGAGGTGTTACACTCAAAGCAGTAAAGGGGGGGAACCTATATTTGTTTCTTTTTCTTTTGTGTTAAAACTTGTATTAATCTAGAATCTATAGAAAGAATGTGTGATGGAAAGAAAATATGACAGATTAAAGAACTACTTAAATTAATAAGCCAAATACAGACTATTAAAAGGAAGGAGAGACATTGGTAACTTTTTTATATTATTATTAGGCAAACATATATTGTTATTTCTATTTTTAAAATAAATATTCAAGGATTATATTTGAAATAATTGAAATGAAACGAAAAGATGTTTTGATTGAGATTAATGTAAGAGACTAGGATTAATTTGCTTGTTTCTCTCCTTTCTGAAAGTTTGGAATGGAAAAGGTAATAACAGAATTAAGTATGCATATATGAATGTATAATTAATGTCATATTTGTATGCAAAAGTGATGACACAGAAATATGTTGTCCACTAAAAAGAGCCTTTTGTTTTTATGTGAAAAATTGAATAAAATTTGTTTTTTAAAAAATATATATGCTGGTCAATTTTCATCCAGCATCCAAGATGATAAAGCAACATATAGACTTAAAACCTGAAATATAAGAACTGAAGGCAGGATGTCTCCCCAGTCAACACCAGAGGGAACCATGGTTGATGGCATTGGAAGCTGCTGAGAAGTCCAGGTCAGGTGAGGATCTTGCCCTTCTCAGAGGTTATCCACTGAGGGACCGATTCTGTTGGCATCTCACACACGGGCCTGAATCCCAGCAGAAAAGGATTCAGATAACCCACTTCATTCAGGATCCTCCGAAGCTGCTTCTCAATCACCCAAAATAAGTTTGATACTGGAATGAAATTTTTTTAAATAATTTATTTTATTTTTACAAACATTCCATCACTCATTTAAACAGTACATCATCTGGGTGCAAATATCTTGTGCAATAATATTTCTAATTAATACAAATTCCTTACCATAACAACAATAATTACATTCTTATTTTAACCTGCTAATACATGATATATTTTATCGTTATAACCACCCCCTTCTTAGGTCCTTCTCCCCTATATTCTTATAGTTTAATTTCTAACTTCCACTTTTATTTTCCAACCACTGATAAAATAATCCCCATATCGTGTAATATTCAGTTTGCTCTTTTTCTTTGCCAGTATTAATCTGTTTCATTCTAATATTCTCCTGATCACATCCTCTTCTGTTGGAATTTTTTTACTTTTCCAATTTTGAGCAAATAATATTTTCTAGCTGCATTTAATACACGAATGATTAAATACGTCTTTTCTTTACTATAACCTTCAGGTATCATCCCCAATAAAAAAATATTTCAGGTTTTAAGTCTATATGTTGCTTTATCACCTTCGACACTGGATGAAAATTGACCAGCATGGGGGCAGAGGGGTTCCAGCAATGGCTTCTTGAAGACGGGGTTAGTTAAGGTATCCTTCAGAGGCAATTTTTCAGTTTACCACAACTAGACTCCATTCACACCACACACACACACAGACACAGACACACACACCTCACTTCAACCAGCTAGGAGGGTCATGTGCCTGAGCTCAGAGTCCTAAGATCCCTGTTCATGTCATCAGGCAAACTATTCAAATATATACACCTTCCAGGTGTTTTGGACTACAGCTTCCATCAGCCCCACCAGCAAACCCTTTGGGGGAGGGTCCATGAAAACTTGCTAAGGTCAGTTGGTCACAAGACAACTCCATGCAGGACAAGAGTTGGACTAATATCAAAGAAATGGTGGAATAATTAAAGGAAGGAGGCAAAAGCAGGGATAGAAATGATATGTGAAGGACAAAAATTAAAATATTTTTTCAATTATTTTAAATCATTAAATGGAATTGTCGCCTGGCGAGTTGGCCATGGCGAATTGGCGTGGTGAGTTAGCTGAGGCGAATTGGCCACAGCGAGCTCAGTTGTCCCATTGTGGGGTACACCGCCCATACCTGAGGAGGAGCTGTGTAGGTGGTCAGCCAACAAAACTTCCTTGCTTTTTGATCAGCACATATTATATTAATCTGGGATTTGATAGACCACCATTTCTTGAACCAACCAGGCATTGGTTGGTACAATACACCTTGGCAACTTTAAGCCTGGAGGACTTCCACTCCCAGAATTCCCCAGCCAGCAAAGCTGCCAAGGTTAGAGACCCCTGCATTACAGGGCTCAAACCACGTCACACAAACCGCAAGGATCGGATTGCAAAAGCCCCGAGCTGAGAAGCAAACAGATCACCCGGTGACTTCGCAGGATGGGAGAAAGCGGTTAAGGGCGGGGAGGCGAAGGCGCCGGGCAAAGGGGTTGCATTTGCGCAAATTATTATTTATTTTTTTTAAAGCAGTCGCGTGTGCAAAAAAAGGACCTGGGTGCCCATCGCTTTTGCGGGGTTTTGGAAGGGAGTCGAACTTCCTTTTTAAAAGCTCCAGTGTAGATTTTAGGCTGGTTTTCGGCTCAAAGGGAACAGAAATTGCGGCGCAAAGGATTTTCCACTCGCGCCTGGAAAAAGGTCCCTCCCGGTAAGCAACTGAAGCTACTTCTAAACGTTACCCCGAACACGGTTTACTTGAACCACGATTTACTGTCTTCTCCTATAACCGCAGATCCTGAGAGCCCGGCAACCTGGGTTGGCATCGCCCAAGCTTCCCTGGTTTACCACCGTCGGCGCAGCCTAACCGCGCCAGCTCCGGCGTCTACCCTTAGAATAGAATAGCAGAATCGGAAGGGACCTTGGAGGTCATCTAGTCCAACCCCGCTGCTCGTGCAGGAGAATCTAGTCCAACTTTTAGCCTCTACCTAGGATCGAACTCATAGAGTCCAATTTATTGTGAGGCGCCCCCAGCACCCGAGAGGGAGCGGCCGACCTGGAGCAGCAGGGCCCCTCAAAGCTGCCTTCAGAAGACCCCCAAGGCTTTCCTCCCCCGGCTTTGGGGGTCTCTCCTTCCAGTCGTCTCTTCTGGGGCCGAGGGTCGCGGGCAGCGGGGGCGGGCCCTGCCCTCCAAACTTCGGCCAACTTTGCGGGCGGAGCGCAGAGTAGCGCCCGCTTCTCTCCCCCCCCCCCCCCGCGGGCCTTTGCGCACGAATCCGCGACGTTTTTCACCCGGGCTGGTCCTCGCCCAGCCGAGATAAGAGGCGGCGGAGCTGCGGCCCCCGCGTGCTTTTCGGGAGAAGGAAGAAGAAGAGGGCGAAGAGCCGCGGCCGGGCAAGGGCGCACCTGTTGGCAAAGGATGGATTGCCCTCGCGGCGGGGTGGAAAAGAGCCACCTGCTTAACGGGGCGGAAAGCAGGTGAGTCCCCGGAAGGGTTCCTCCCTTCCCTTCCCTTGTTTTCTTCCCTTCTTTCCTTTCCTTCTCCTTTTCTTTTCCCTTTCCTTTTTCCTTCCCTTCCCTTCTTTTCTTTCTTTCCTTCTTCCCTTTCCTTTCCTTCTTCCCTTTCCTCCTTCTTTTCTTTTCTTTTCTTTTCCCTTTCCTTTCCTTTTTTCCTT